ACCATCTGCACGTCACAGGGGTCAGGTGACATGACCATCTGCACGTCAGATGGGCAGGTGACACTACCATCTGCACGTCAGAGTGGCAGATGAAACAACCATCTGCACGTCAGAGGGGGCAGTTGACAAGACCATCTGCACTTCAGAGGGGGCAGGTGATATGACCATCTGCACGTCAGAGGGGGTATGTGACATCAACATCCGCATGTCAGAGGGGCCAGGTGACATGACCACCTGCACCGCAGAGTGGACAGGTGACACGACCATGTACACGACAGAGTGGGCAGCTGACACGACCATCTGCACGTCATAGCGAGCAGGTGACACGACCATCTGCACATCAGAGGGTGCAGGTGACACGATAATCTGTACGTCAGAGGGGGCAGGTGACACGACATTGTGCACTTCCGAGGGGGCAGGTGACACCACCATCTGCAAGTCAGAGGGTGCAGGTGACACGACTGTCGGGAGCTGGAGAAACAACAATCATTACCAAAAAATATAAAATAGCTCTACAAACAGTTGCCTTAAGCAGGAAATTCTGCTTGCACAAGTAACCTTGAGAAAGAATTTATGGCAAGGTTATCTTTCTCTTCCTCTTGCAAACAGTTCTCGAAAAAATGAGTCATGCAGTAATCTCTTGGAACACCTGGCAGTCAGTCACGTTACTGAATTGCTCAGTCCCCCTCCCATACCCATAAGAATGCTGTAACCTTTTTGACCAACTCCCTTAAGCCCTTCTAAATACAAACTGTATATAAGGAAAGCTTGCAGTTCAATAAAGTGGCCCTTGACAAGTGGACTTGCTTGGGCTCTGTCTCTTCTTTCTCGCCCGTTTTTCCTTTCAGGGAGTGGTCCCCCTCGAGTCTTACCTGTACAGGGTCCCCGCAGGCGGGGGCACATTGATACATCTTTAAAGTTATCAAGCTGGGCCAGGCATGGTGGTAGAGGGAGGTAGAGGCAGATGAATCTTTGTGAGATGGAGGCCAGCCTGGTCTACATAGCCAGTTTCAGGCCAGTTGGAGCTCTAAAGAGACCCTGTCTCAAAAAAAAAAATTATTGAGCAGTAAGTATGCTGAATTTTTATCTACCTACCTATTTATTACCTATGTGTGTGGTGTATGTTCAGGAACAGTGGACACAAGATTGCTGGCCAAGTGGTAGGCAAGTCCCAACCTGAGGTCACACAGCAAATCAGAGGTGTGGTAGCCAGCAGGTTCATGTTCCTTCCTGTCCCCTTGATTCCTGAGGACATCCCTGCCTGCTGGTAAGGATCTTAATTGAACTTCTGCAGGATGAATCCATCTCACTCTCTATTTCCCCTGTATCCCAGCTCCTGGGACTTACAAATAATTCCTCTCCCTGGATAAGTTATAATAGCCACTTAGAAACTGCTTTTGCTTTTAGAAAGCAATGGCTCCTCACTTGGGCTAAAGATGAAAGCCTTCATTTTGTGTTTGTCACTTTACTTTGGGTCAGACTCATGTATAACTGAAGAGGCATATTCATTGCTAAGGATTTTGTCTTCCTAAACTATCTTATCCCTTCTGAAACTAAAGGCACAGCAGCAGTGAGTTATTGTTCTAACTCTGCTATCGCTTTACATTCTAGGAACAGCAAATCTTGCAGGGCAGAACACATTTAAGATGAGAATAGTGATCTATGATGGAGCTGCCCTCTGGAGCAGGTCATCCTGTAGGAACAAGAATAGTCCCCTTCAGTGGGGGTATGATAGCAATTTGTAGTGATTCCTTGCCAAAGTGTACCTAAAACAAGGGTGGGATCATACCTTGAGCAGGACAGCTCATTCTGTTTGCCTCTTACCCCAGTGTCTACTCTTTTCAGTGCCCTGAAGATGAGCTTGGGATCCCTGAGCCCCTTTATCTGTTCCTCTTCCCAACATACATTGATTAAATCACCTTTCTTTGCTTTTCACCATTCCTTGTATATCCAGAGGTTTTAAGGCAAAAGCGTGGGCTCCAGCAGTCCCCCAAGGCTCTGCTACCTGTCCCCAATGCATCAGTTAAAAACATGAGTGGTAAAGAAAAGCAGAGAGCAGATTTATTCAACATGATCTTTTGGTTTGAATAGAGGAAGAACTGGGGCAAGGAAGTTAGAGGTATGACTAAATGATCAGTCCCGGTAGGTGTGGTCTCCTTTCATGATCTCCTCTTTGAATTCTGTAACACGGAACAAAGAAGTCATCAGTACTTGAGTTAACAAGATGGTTCTCATGAAATGATCTCTTCTACAGGGAGCGGCCTTGCCCTCATGGGTAACTGCCTTCCTCTGGGAGTGGATCTTCTAACTTTTGAGGTTCTGCTGTTCAAGGAACCCAAGGTGACTCAAGAGGAAAAGTGAAGGACAGTGCCTGCCTTGCCTCTCTGCCTTCAGCCAAAGTAAAGGGGACAGACACAAAATGAAGTGTGGATCCCAGGCTTCCATCCTGCTTTTAGTGACCTTGTGGGGTCAAGTGAGGAGTCAAGGCTTTTTAACGAAAGTAGCATCTAAACGCTTGTTTTGTCTCTTTAATTGATGTGTTGGTGTGGGAGGTCAAGCCCACCCTGCTGGGGCTGCTGGAGCTAAGCCTTTTTGTCCTAAATTCTAGTTACAAAATGGTTTTATGTAGGTTATCCTGACCCCAAAGCTCAGAGAGGTGAAGTGTCCAGAGTCTGCAGCTGGGAATTGAGCCCTGGCCAGTCTTGCTGCAAAGTAAGGATTGCACCAAAACTGTCACAAATTAGGTTTCTAAGGCACAGCTACCTGTGAGGTCCTGGCACATTCAGTGGAAAAGACTGAGGCAAAGAAGCCTCAAGAAGGTCATGACACCTGAACAGGTAAGGGAGGGTATCTCATGGGTGAGGAGGAGGAGGGGTGGAGACAGTGGTGCAGAGACAGGGGAGCATGTGGCGAGAGGGAAGGTTAGAGAGAAAGGGTCAGGACTGGGGCTAAAGGCCAGGATAGATTATGATATGATAGCAGGGAGTCATGGAAGATGTTTGAGCAGCATGAAGTCAGCTGTGCTGGGAGAACAATACTGGTTGTGGCTGGGAGGAGGTGAAGATCCTACTTAAATAGCAGTTAAAAGGTCTTGAGGTGGGAGCAAACAAGGAGGCTGTAGAGACAAATGGATCCCCCCGCCCCCAGCAACTCACAGAACCTGCTAGAGAGCCAGAGGGATCTGAGAATTCCATCTTCCAGCTTAGCACAGCTGTGCCAGCAATTCATTCTGTAAGCATTTTTAAAAATTTCTTATTTTTAAGTTCCACACTTGCATGTATTTTGCATGATGGTTTCAGGACTGTTGTTTTTTTTTCCTCCCAGTTTGCTGAAGACATTCTTGGTTATCCCCTTAACCTGCATCTCAGACACTCCTCCTCTCAGTCCTACATCTTTCCTCTTTCTCAAATTCTCATCCCATCATCTTTTTACTTCTTAACCGTAACTTCCTATAACTTCAACAGTCTCTAAAATCTGTGGACACTGGTGGTATCCCAACTTTCCCCTCCAGCTACTTTACCCACCTTGATTTTTCCTCTTTCTTTTCAAAGTGGATCTTATCCATATCCCTATCTACCCAATTTCCTCCCACATCCTAATCTTATTACCTAAAACCTTATACTCTACACTGTCCTTGGTTGTTTACCTTCCAGTAGTTATTGAAGTCTTAGGAACCACTGTCATTAACTGGCTAGTGCATTTGCACAGTGGGCTACCCAGCAGCTCTTATGCCTGTGGTTAATATTCTAGTCAGGGAATAATGCAGCGTTTATACCAGGCACACTGAGCTCCTGGACTGGGGAACTATTTTCTGAACTATATACTCAACTCTACCACACCCAAGTCCATTTGAAAATTGCAAATATTTCAATGGAAAGACTACAACTGACTAAAAATAAACCAAACAAAAATATATTCACCAGTTGCATAAACCCCAATGCAGTAATATAAACATGAAAAAACAAGACAAAAATGACTCCTCCAAAAATTACTAATCCTACAATAATGGCATCTAGGGCAAGTGAGTTAGATAAAATCCCAGATAGTGAACTCCAAAAAGTAGGTATCATCAAAGAAACACACAGCTAAATGAAATAAGGAAAGCAATGCCTGATATGAAAGAGAAATTCAACAAAAAGAGAAATGCCGAAGGACAACTAATTTGAAACACAGGAAATGAAAAACATGGTAAATCCAAAACTGTGGAAAATCTCAGCAATGGAGTGGATCAAGATGACAGAATATCTGAGCTTGAGGACAAGGTGGAGGAACTTAACATCAAACATGGACAAAGATAAAACAAAACACCAGTGGAGATTCTAAGACATATGAGACACTCTGAAAAGATCAAATCTATGGGTTACAGGCATAGAAGAAGGAAAAGAATCTTGTTTTAAAGGCATAGATAACATTTTCAAAAGAATCATAACAGAAAATTTCCCAGTTAGGAAAAGAGATGCTTTAGCTTCTCTAGGTGTTGGTCTGTAACCTGTAAGTCAAATAAATCCTTCCTGTGTTGCTTTGGGTTAGGGTGTTTGTCACAGCCAGAGAGAGCAAAGTAGTATAAAAAGTATTCCCAGCAAATGGACCTAGGAAACAAGTAGGTATTGATGTTCTAATTGCTGGCAAAATAGGTTCAAACCAAAACTAGTGAGAAAAGATAAAGTCATTTTATACTAATTAAGGGATAATCCCTCAAGAGGACATTATTATTTTAAACAGATAGGCCCCAAACAGAGGTGCCCCCAATTTAATTAATCAAGTACACTAGATATGAAGTCACAGATTAACCTGAGCACAATAGTAGTGGGTGACTTCAGTACCCCACTTTCACCATTTGACAGGTCATCCTGGTAAAAAGTAAACAGAGAAACATTGAATTAAAGGACATCATGAATCAAATGGACTTAATGTTGCAGAGTACACATTTTTCTCAGTAACCCATGGAATTTTCTCTAAAATAGATCATATATTAGGACAGAGAGTGAGCCTTAACAAACAGGAAAATTGAAATAATTCCTTGTATTCTATCTAATCCTAATGAATAAGACCATAAATCTATAGCAAGAGAAATCCTATAACATACACAGATTCATGGAGCTTAAACAACACACCATTGAACAATGAATGGGTCCTTAGGAAATAAAAAAGGAAATTAAAAATTCATAGAATCAAAAGAAAATGAAAACATAATATATCAAACCTATGAGATACAATGAAAGCAGTGCTAGAAGGAAGTTTATAGCTCTAATGCCTACATTAGAAAATCAGGAAGATCTCAAATAAATAAATGGGTAAATAATTTAATAATACACCTTAAAGCACTGGAAGAAGAACAACCCCCAAATCAATGCACAGAACTAAATCATTAAGATTAGGTCATAAATTTATGAAATGGAAACAAAAAATTACAAAAAAGAATCAACAAAATAGAGTTGGTTCTTTGAAAGACAAAACCCTTAGCCAAACCAACTGAAAGAGAGAGAAGACCCAAATTAATAAAATTAGGGATGAGAAGGCAGCCATTATAACAGATGACAATGAGATTTAGAAATTCATTAAGTCTTGGGTCAGTGAGATAGCTCAGTGGATAAAGGCACTTGCCACCAAGTCTGAAGACCTAAGTTTGATCTCTGGGTCCCACATGGTGGAAAGAGAGAACCAGTTCCCACAAGGTATCCCCTGATCTCAAATACACACACACACAGACACACACACAGACACACAGACACACACACACACACACAGTCTGTCTCTCTCTCTCTCACACACACACACACAAAATGAATAACTGTAAGCTAAAAAAATTTAAAAAGGAAATCAATAGGTCTTATCTTAAAAACATATACTCCACTAAATTGGAAAATCTAAAAGAAATGGCTGAATTCTAGATGCATATGACTTAGCAAAATTAAACCAAGATGAATCAGCAGCTTAATGGATCTACAACAAGCAGTGATTTAAAATTACTATTGAAGCAGTAATTTAAAATCTCCCAACTAAAAAGGTTCAGGCCCAGATGGATCACTGGTGAATTTTACCAGACCTTCAAAGAGAAACTAATACTAATGCCTCCCAAACTATTCTATAAAATGGAAAAGGAAGGAAAGTGCTAACCTCCTTTTATCAAACTAGTATGACCCTGATACCCAAAGCAGACAAAGTTGGGACAACAACAACAAAAATTACAGACCAATCTTGCTGATGAACTTAGATGCAAAATTTTTCAACAAAATACTTGCTAACTTTATTCAAAAACACACCAAAAAGTTCATTCACCATGATCAAGTTGTCCATTGCCAATGCTTTTGGTTTCCCACCATAACTAAGTGATAAGACCCTTTTGCTGAAGACACCAAATACTTTGGTTGCAGGACATAGAGAAATCAACCTGGACTGACAAGGACACTTCCTCCTTGATGGCTAGCTTTCAAAGTACTGGAAGGTATTATAGAGGCTGCTAGGTGAAAAAAGATATTGATGGTTTTACCTAACACTGAACTCTGCATGCTACAAGATTGACCTGACAGGCATGATGTGCCCACTGGTGCAACAGTGGCATGAATACTATAGGGGTAATCAATCACTTTCTGGTTGAATTTGAGGACTGTTCTACAGGGGGGACTTCATGCCTGATGCTGTAATCCTGGTCAAAAGCCCCAGGCTAGGGAGATCATAGGCCCTAGTGGAGAACTTACTACTGTTATTTTGGTTAAAGGCCATGTTGTCAAACTGCTTTCTAAATATTTGTGCTTATAACCATAGATCAGCGCTGCTTTCAACTTTGGTCAGAGAAGCTTCTTTTTTTGTAGTGGACAGTGGGGAATGCAGAGACTTGTAACTGGCTCAACAGCTGAAAATGAGTGACTGTTAAGAGCTCAGCCTTAAATGCTTAAATAGACCATCTACATCAATCCCTCACCCCTCCACCTTAAGACTCAGACGACATCAAAGAAGAGGGGGTTGGAAAGACTATAAGAGCTGGAAGATGGAGAAGAGCACTGTGAAATGCTGTCTTCTAGACATGGCATGGGTTGCACTCATGAGCTCACAGCAGTTGTGCTGTGCAAGATCTGCAGGAGATCAAGTCCATCAACATTCCACCACGGGTAGGGAGGAGCTCATGGCGCTCCTAGTTGAGGAGCTATTGACATTGATGGCTCCTGATGGAGGTGGAGTCATTTTTCTTAGAGGGGGGGTAAGTTGCCCATGCTCCAGTGTATGGCCTCACACCCATGCACATGCAGGCTGCACAACTGGATTTACTGAGTTATTTAAAAAAGGGGGGAGGCTGGAGAAATGGCTCAGTGGTTAAGAGCTCAGTGGCTGCTCTTACAGAGGACCTGGGTTTGAATTCCAGCACCCACGTGGTGGGTAACCACTGTCTGTAACTCCAGTTCTAGGGGTTATGATGCCCTCTTCTGACCTCCAAGGGTACTGCATGACATGGATGCATTTACATATGCACAGGCAATATACACACACACACACAGACACACACACAGACACACACACAGACACGCACACACACACACACACAACTGCAAAAAAAAGGATATGAATGTATGCAGAAGGGGTCCCAGGGAGAAAGAGGGACAATCAGGGGAGGATATGATCAAGACACATTGTATACATGTATGTATACAAAGAATTAATAAAAAGTCTTAAGGTGGCTCTTTACAAGCTTGTAGCAGAGGAAAAGCCACTGAGAAGAAAAGACACCAGAGTGGACATACAGGAGCCCCAGGTGCTGAGGAAGGTGAGCTAGGACATGCGCCAGTGACATACCCTGGAGTAGTGAGATGAACACGGCCACATGTAGCATGGTGGAATCCGGCAGCCCTGCACATAGTGGGTGCTCAGTCAAAGTAGGTCATGCGATTAAACGGACCAATAGCCTCTCTGTCTCTAGGTTTGCTCCAGTCGCAGCACTCTCTCCTGTTTCCCACACCCTGGAGTCTGCACATCCTGCCCAGGAGTCCTGAAGGATCCCAGCTGGCCCCATAGGGACAAGGTCCTACCGTTGTGCCAGGTGCGTCCATATGGTCATGGTCTCGGTCTCTCTCTCTCTCTCTCTCTCTCTCTCTCTCTCTCTCTCTGTGTGTAGGCCAGAGGTCCTCTCTCTCTCTCTCTCCTTTCCCCCCTCCCCCTTCTTCCCCCCTCCTTCCTGTCCTTATCTTTCCCTTCCGTCTCCATGGAGACTCACCACCTCAGCTTGCCAGCATTTAAGCGTCTGTCAGGGATTCTGTGCTGGGCTCGGTTCATCCTCTTCCGAAGCCCTGGTACCCGCAGCCCTGTCTCCTCCCTCTGGGGTGAGTCCAGCGGCAGCCTTCTTTGCAGCCTCATTTTTTTCTGATCACAGCATTTATTCTCCAGCCCTGAGAGCAAGGCAGCCTCTGAGGAGCCCACCCCCGTGCCCCACCCTCCACCCGCTCCGTTAGCCCTCCGGGAGAAAGGCCATCCTACTTCCGGCAGAAGGTCTCAAGTGGGCCTCCTCTCTGTGCATCGGACCCTCTGCCATTCCTCCCATGCCTAGGCCCGCCCTGTCAGTCACTGCTTTTTGTCATCGGCTTGGCAAACGGGCAAGTCTTTAGCCCTAATATCTGGGAAAGAGTTGGGGTGGGAGGGAGCCACCTGGGAGGAAGGATGGGTCTGGGGAAGGTGATCCTGGAAGCCCAGGATGAAGATAGAGTGTGGATTCTGTTCTAAATCTTCCCCTCCCCCCTCAGGAGAGAAAAGGAGGCTTCATGGGAAACAGCAGCAACAGTTGGTGAGCCTCGGGGACTGACTGGCTGGGATTGGTGCAGTGGGTCTGGCAGGTCAGCTGGCAAAGCTGGTCCAGGAGCATGGATCTCTGCAGTCTAGCAGGCTGCGCTCCGCAGGGCTGTCCTCAGGGAGGGAGCCACAAGGCTGGATGGGCCAGACTGTGCAGGGAGGGACCGGGACAAGCAGGTGGGTGCTGCGGGGAGGCAGATGCTCAGCTCAGAAAGCACAAGGAATCCTCCAAGAACCTAGCCATCTGTTCAGCTGCAGAATGGCTTGCCTGGGGTGCCAGGAGGCTGCCTACAGCCCTCTTGACTGTCCCAGCAGTGAGGGGATTGTAGAGTTTGTCACTCCTTGAGGGGCCCTTGTTGCAAAAAGCCTGGCTGTCCTAGAGGGTTTTCCTGAACGTTGGCCCTGGGCACCTGCAGCTGGGGCAGCATACCACATCATCTCTGTTGAGTATCTCTGTTGATCGGTGGCCAATCTCTCCTTTGGACAGGAGATGGGCAGGACCTCACTCATAGGTGCATGACTGGAATGTGTAGAGCCAGGGGTCCCTGAAGTTTTCTTTCTAGGATATTCTTTCCTCACTGTTCTATTACCCTTACTCTGTGATAGCCAGGAAGTGAGGAACAGAGCTCCATCCCTCTAGGTGGCCCCAGGAAACTGAGGTGGTACAGAGGGACCTTCACCTCCAAGCTGTCAGTCCTCCAAACCCTGCACCCATCAGGCACCCAGCTTTAACTGATGTCCCTCCCCTTTTCCCCACCAGGTCCCATGCATCAATCCCCAAGCTGGAGTTGGGCCTGGGACACCGTCCCACACCGCCCAGGGAGCCACCTACTTGTTCCATCTGCTTGGAAAGGCTGCGAGAGCCCATCTCGCTGGACTGTGGCCACGACTTCTGCATTAGATGTTTCAGCACACACCGAATCCCAGGCTGTGAGCCGCCCTGCTGCCCCGAGTGCAGGAAGATCTGCAAACAGAAAAAGGGTCTCCGCAGTCTCGGGGAAAAAATGAAGCTCCTGCCACAGCGGTCGCTGCCCCCTGCACTGCAGGTGAGGGACCAAGCTACAATCCAAGGTTCAGCACTCCGACATCTTGGGTCATATTCAAGACTGGGGAGGAGCTATGGCGCTATTCTAGAATGTCACAATGGGGCTTGGAGTTTCAGACTAGACACACTCCCAACTTGAATTCGGTCCCACTTGGGATGCTCAGGGTACCCTTTTCTGTCCCATCTAGGAGACCTGTGCTGTGAGGGCTGAACGGCTGCTGTTGGTGCGCATCAACGCCTCTGGAGGCCTCATTCTCAGGATGGGGGCCATAAACCGCTGTCTGAAGCATCCGCTGGCCAGGGACACGCCTGTCTGCCTACTTGCTGTCCTGGGGGAGCAGCACTCAGGGAAGTCCGTCCTCTTGGACCACTTGCTCAGAGGCTTGCCTGGCCTGGTGAGGGCAGGGCTCACAGGAGGCTGCAAGGGGGCAAGGCAGGAGCCCTGGGTTGGCTCTGGGAGTGGAGGCTGAATGTGGAACCTGGTCTCAGGGATGCAAAGTGGACCAACTGATGCCCCTTCTCCATTTTCAGGAGTCTGGTGAGGGTGGCCAGCCCATGACAGAGGGGTCCCTGCCTGGGTTCAAATGGGGTGCCAATGGTCTCACCAGGGGCATATGGATGTGGAGCCACCCCTTCCTGCTGGGAAAAGAAGGGAAGAAGGTGAGGGAGAAAGGCAGAGGGAAGTTAGTGTGGATGAAGGAGGGAAAGAGGAAGGACAGAGGATGGAGAGATGGAAAGGGGAAGAGGGAGGGAAGAAAGGACAGGGATGGAGAGGATGGAGAAGGAAATCTGTGGGGGTGAGGACAAGGAAATTGGGTTGGGTGAAGAGTGTGGGAGAGCAAGGCAGGCCTGACCCCTTGATTTGTGCCCCACCCATAGGTGGCTGTGTTCCTAGTGGATACAGGGGATGTCATGAGCCCTGAACTGAGCAGGGAAACAAGGATCAAGCTCTGTGCTCTCACCATGATGCTGAGCTCCTACCAGGTGAGAGAGGTACCCAGATGGGGGTCCCCACTCCAGATCAGCTTCCTCAGAGCCAAGGGTATCACAGCTTTTGGTGTCTGGGATCTTTGCAGGTTATGGGGAGCCTTGGAAGGAGGAAGGTGCTCCTAGCTAGTGAAGGTGGGCAGATGGGTCATTCTAAAGGTGGGATGATGGGCCTCAGGGGCAGCTGGAGGATTATAGGACCACAAGACTATCCAGGTCTGCTGGAAGGTGGACAGCCCCTTGACTGAGAGGCCCTCATGCTGGGCTGGGCATGTTCTGAGATGAAGAATTCCAGGAACCCCTCACTAGGCCCTTTCCTACCTCTGCAAATCTTGCACCTTCCTGTTTTCCTTCATTCTAGATCCTGAATACCTCCCAGGAGCTAAAGGACACGGACCTGGGCTATCTGGAGGTAAGACAGCCTCTAATGTTGGAGGTGTTGATGCAAAAGCACAATGTTCAATTCAAAGAGGATAAGAGAGTTTATTTTGGAGCCAAATATGAGTGACCATGGCAGGGAACACAGATTCGGGTTACCCCAAATTCCATGTTCCAAAGTGGTATCAGTTTCATGAAATTTCCATGCTAATAGAACAAAGAAAGCCATAAACCAAGACACTTTTTAAAAAACATTGATGGAGACATTAGAGAAGCAGGTTATAGTGAAGTGGGAAGAATTCTGCTATAAGCTTTAGACACTATCTGACAGGCTTCTTAGCCCTTGGGTTGGTGGAAGCTGGTGGTCTGCTAAGTTAATACTTTCCAAAATGTTTTTATCTGTTAGTCACAGGATGTTGTCAGAAACACAGGTGGGCAAGGAATGGCTATTTAAGGAGTAAAGAAGGCTGAAGATAAATGGTAATTAGGCTCTGGACCTGCAACATTCCAAACTCCACAATCATTGAAGTTCTAATCAGTTGATCTGTCTTCCAGACAGTTCACTTTGAGGATGCAGGTTTTTTTCTGGGAACATTTGTTCACAGAGGCATTACCCCAACATACCCTGACCATAAGGCCAGGGATTGGGGGGCTGGACCACAAGGAACTCATGCCCTCCATTCTGGCTTATGATTTTACGACACTTGAAATGCATTAATGGACTTTAGGGTAGAGAGTTGAACATGAGATACCTAGTTTGGAGAGAGGCAGGAGAATCTCCAAGCTGGGAAGCAGAAAAGTTGGACCCTACAGTGGTCCAGGGACCTAGAGAGATGTCTTGGGGCAGATTGTAGACTTTGGAATAGCTCAGCACTTAAGATCTCTGTGCCTATCTCCAGATGTTCATCCATGTGGCTGAGGTGATGGGCAAGCATTATGGGATGGTGCCAATCCAGGTGAGACCCCTGTTTCTTGACTTGTCAGCTCAGATACTGTCAATCCCAGCTTCTGGGACCAAGACCCTTTTCTCTTCCAGCATCTGGACCTCTTAGTTCGTGACTCTTCTCCTCACAATAAGGCAGGTCAGGGACATGTGAGTGACATACTCCAGGTGAGTAGTGTAGAGGGAGAAAACTGGTGACAGAGCAGCAGGCAAGGGACGGTGGGAGGGTCCTGAATGTTCTCACAGAGGGATGCTGGGCCCTGAGTGTACTCAGAGGGAAGCTGCTTCCCTGGCTCAGAACTCTCTGCAAATTGATCTCTTAGAAGCTGTCTGGCAAATACCCCAAGGTCCAGGAGTTGCTCCTAGGGAAACGAGCCCGCTGTTACCTCCTTCCTGCCCCAGGAAGGCAGTGGGAGAATAAAGGCCAAGGAAGCCCAAGAGGCGGTGAGTGTCCCCAAGGGGCCAAGACCTCCTTGGCACTGCCCCTCAACAGCTCCCAAGCCCTCTGCCTTGGTCCCCAAGGCTGGGGCTTCTCAGTCCAAGGAATCTCTTTCTCAGACACAGAAGATGACTTCTGCCACCTTCTCCGGGCCTACATCTCGGATGTGCTGAGCACGGCCCCTCAGCATGCTAAGAGCCGCTGTCAGGGGTACTGGAGTGAGGGGCGTGCTGTGGCCAGGGGGGACCGACGCCTGCTCACAGGTCAACAGCTGGCACAGGAGATCAAGGTGTGAAAACTCCCTGGAGGCCCTGGTCTTGGCAGGCCCCTGCTCTCCCTGACCGGGACATGCTGTCTCTGCAGAACCTCTCAGGCTGGATGGGGAAGACAGGGCCCAGTTTCAACTCTCCAGACGAGGTATGTATGCCATCAGGAGGATGGGGTCAGCAAGGGAGGCCTGGGGTAGGGGTCTGTGTGCCCTGGGAGTGGAGATGAGGAACCGGCAGCACCTCTGGCTGAGGAGGAAGAAGGGAGGCAGCCTGGGCTTTCCTGTGGACAGATGGCCGCTCAGCTGCATGACCTGAGGAAAGTGGAGGCTGCCAAGAAGGAGTTCGAAGAATATGTGAGGCAGCAGGTGAGTTGCAGGGCTTACAAGAGGAGGCTGTGCCATAGAGGGGATGCCTGGGTACCCCATCAGAGCATCTTCTTTTCTCTGTTCCATTGCCATAGGACATAGCCACCAAACGAATCTTCTCTGCACTCCGAGTCCTGCCAGACACTATGCGGAACCTCCTTTCGACTCAGAAGGATGCCATCTTGGCTCGCCATGGTGTGGCTTTGCTGTGCAAGGAGAGAGAGCAGACCCTGGAGGCCCTGGAAGCTGAGCTGCAGGCAGAAGCCAAGGCCTTTATGGACTCCTATACAATGCGCTTCTGTGGCCACCTGGCTGCTGTAGGGGGCGCTGTAGGTGCTGGTCTCATGGGCCTGGCAGGGGGTGTGGTGGGTGCAGGCATGGCAGCAGCAGCCCTGGCTGCTGAAGCAGGGATGGTGGCGGCTGGGGCAGCAGTGGGGGCCACTGGGGCTGCTGTGGTTGGGGGTGGTGTGGGTGCTGGGCTGGCTGCTACTGTGGGCTGCATGGAGAAAGAGGAAGATGAAAGGGTGCAAGGAGGAGACCGAGAGCCTCTTCTTCAGGAAGAATAACAGCTAGGCTGTGTGGAAGGGTGAGAGTGAGAGGAGATGGGGACATGCCAGGGATTCAGTGGGGACGATGGTGCACTGCCTCTGCCACTGAGTTGGAGATTCAGGGTGACTCCAGGAATCTAGGGAGGCTGTCTGGGAAGGAGGCATTGTTGGGAGCAGCAAATAGGGATTGGGGTCCATTTTTGGCTGTAGATGATTGCTACTTCTTGGAGCCCAGGTTCTCCCACTACAAATGAGCTTCCACCATTCCAGTTTATTATTTTCTTGGAGGACCCTGGTCTGGAAGTTTTCCCCTGGGTGCAGAACCCTATCCTTTCAAAGATAAGAGAAGCCCAGCATGACTGCCCTTGGAGCTGGGGGCCCTGACAGTGACTGGGAAGAAAGAGATGGAGAAGAGAACGCAGGGCAGAGGCTGAAAGTGGGGCATGACAGACAGTAGCATACCCCTGGGGTCCAGACTTACTCCCAAGGCTACCCTGCAGGACTGACATGGCCGGCTGCCTTCACCACCTCTGCAACTGGGCATCTGGTATATATCCTGACCCGACCTGTAACCCAGCTTCCTGCTGGCCTCCTGGACTTGTGCCCTTGCCACACCCACTGAGATGAAGGAGCCCCATGTTCTTTGCAGAATGCCCTCACCATGGCAGATTAAATGCCAAAGAACCACACTGTTGATTGCATTCTGAGCTAAGGAGGTCTGCACCAGCTTCTACCAAAGTCTGGTAAGCAAAAGAATAGAGAAGGAGTTCCATCCCTAGATGTAGCCTTCCTCCCCTGAGCCTCTGAGCCCCTCTGTACCACATTATAAGACCTTGATGCAGCTCTCTGAACAAGCCCTCACAGAGACATTGTGGATTGGGAGCCTCTCTCAGGGGTATGGAAAGTTCTAGGAGGACTTCTGGGATATTAACCTATAAAGGATGTCTGGCATATGACCCTTTATTTTATATAAAAATAAAATGTGTGTATGTGAACGCCAGCTTCTCAGTACATCATTGAAACAAGAACTTGGCTTCCAGAAGACTTTGGGGTGGGAGGAGGTAACAAGGAGTTCTATAACTGGGATGTGGTGGTTGGGGATGGGGACACTGTAAGTCAAAAGTGATCTGAAGTTAGTTGTGGTGGCATACAACTTTAATCCCTAAACAAGAGGCAGAGGCAGGTGGAGCTCTGTGAGATTGAGGCCAGCTTGGTCTACATAGCAAGTTCAAGACCAGCTGTACATAGTGAGAACTTGATGATCTTGTCAGTAGGGAGCTGGCATCTGTTCTGGCACAAGACAAAAGGGAGGTGCCAGCAGGAAACCTTGGTAAGACCCTGGAAGAAGAAGCCCAGGACTGATTCTGTGGGGTTAGCCAGGATTCACCTGATTCTCCTCCCAGCCCCAGCTTCCACTGCCCAGCTGGCTAGTGGACAAGCAGGGCAACCAGACATCTGGGCTGGCCCTAATCCACAGACATTGGAAGGCGTGCTGCTGTTAAGGGATCTGCTGAAATAGAAATGTTCCTTTCTCAATGCTTCTGTCCAGCTCTGGGAAGCTGAAGGGTGACAGAGGCAGAGGACATGGTGTGGGACAGATGGCTTAACAGTCAAAGTAGCAGTTAACAGGGTGGGGACAAAATGAAAAATGTAGGAAAATCCCAGAACTGGGATGCGGGTGGGTGGGGTAAGGTCAGATGCGGGTGACCCTTTTTGGAACCTGGGCCAGGGGTGGGGACAGGGTCTAGACAGTGTGTAGTGTCTGTGGAGCAAGGCTTTCTGGAAGCACCTCAGTCCTTCCACTGTCATCTGGTGGACACATGAGCTGCAAAAGTCTCTCAGAGTTTGAGTCTGGCAGGCTCAGGATTGAGGGCCTCCAAGGACTCTTAGAGAGAAGTGCCATGTGGTTAGAATCCCCCTCCAATGAGAACTTGGAGGAAGCTCCAAGGTCAACTTCATGCTCACTGACAGATGGGAGAGGTTGGTTCAGCTGGAAGACTTCTGCAGAAAAAAATGAATATTCAATTGCATTTGTCTTGGGTTTTCTATTTTCAAATCCATCATCTTCTTAAGCCTGGGAACCATCTTCACAGTGTGTACAATACAGACTGTGCAGAGGAGGACCCAGAAGCCCAGAGAAATATGTCTCGGTATCAGTTGAAACAACTAGTGATAGATAAAGTAGGAATTGAACCCAAGGTTTCTGATGTGAGAGCCCTTGCTCAGTAGAGTCTTTATCCCTTAAAGTCTCTTCAGACCCCAAGACAGCCTCAGAGTCTTTAACTTAATTACATGGTCTTTGGGTATGCAGTTCCATTTTCATCTTGTAGTGAAATACCTGAGGCTAAGCATTTTATCCAGAAGAGAAGTTTATTTAGCTTGCAGCTTTGGAGGTTCAAGAACATGGTGCTGGTATCGGGTTGGCCTTGGGTAAGGATCTTGTGATGACTGGCATAACATGGCAGGAGGTTGTAGAATAAGGAGCCCTTATTTGGCCGGACAAGAAACTAGAGAGAGACTGGGATTCCATGAGAATTGCACTAATCCCTTGTAAGAGTTGTGTCCCTGGTGACCTAATGACCTCTCACCTCTTAATATTGTCATACCTGGGGCTGAGCTTCCCAGATATGAACTCTTGGGATATATTTAAACAATGTCCGACTAGTGCTGGGCTTTCATTATGAATTCTGTAACTCACAGAGTATAACCCAGATCTCCAAGACTCATCACAAGGTTCTAGGTTAGATATTTATTGTCTTACTTTTTAGCTCCTGCTTCTAAGCTTTCATGTTGAAGATGGCAGTTCCACGAGATGCAGGAGCCAGCATCCTGAAGCCCCTTGATGCATGCAGCAAGAGCCTCACTCCCCTGAACTGCAGGAAACCATACATGAGACATCTAGGCTGATTTGTTCTGCACCATTGCCCACCCTGCCTACCTACCTACTAGACCTGTGGTCCTTGAGTGAGGTGTTGCCGTAAGAAACACTGACAAACACTGGTGAACAAAACATTTGCCAAACTCCCACCTATAAATACTTGGAAGTGGAGCTTGTATGGTTGAGGAAGAATTTTTAAAAAGTAAAGTTCCTTGACAACCCAGAATATTCATTCCTCACCAATGTGGAAAAGCAAGAAAAGGTTCTATTATTAAATATGCATTCAACCAGATAGGGATGTGTCCTGTGTAATCTGCTAATGATATTACAAAGATAAAAAGAAGTCTCACCCTGTGCTATTACTTTTTTGTTGCTGTGGTCAAATACCTGACCAGAAAACTGAAAGGAGGAAGAACTGATTTTGCTCATGGTTTCAGTGGACTCAGTCTGTGATCACTGGCCTTGTGTGCTGGGCAGAGTGTGTGCTGGAGAGCAGCTGTTCATTTGTGCCAACCACGAAGCACACAAAGGAATTCTGGCTCTTGCTGACTTCTTTTCACTTTTTATTTCATCTGGGGCCTTGGCCCATGGGATGGTGCTACCCATACTCAGGGTAACCTTTACCCTTCAATTAATCCTTTCTGGAAAGGCCCTCACAGACACGCAGAAGTGTGCTTTACTAATCTAAATGATTCCAAATCCAGTTGACAAAGACTAGCCTCACACACCCTATTTATACAACCAGGCAGATGCCATCTGTGGTCAGGAATTCTCACATATAAAGAGTTGTCCTCCAGTGAGATGACCCCATGGCAGAGGTTTACTAGCTGCACTTCCACAGTTCACTCTAAGTCCACCTGATCAGCAGTAGTTAGGGCACCTAGCCTAAATACCCTGGTGACAGAATGATGGAGCATGGTCTTCCTTAACGTTTACAGTTGGATAAGATGGCTCCAGAGAGGTAGTCCTGGGCTTTCATTCTGGTAAAGATTTATTTAACCTTTAAAAAGAATCATATGGGTGTGTGTGGGGGAGAGACAGCTCAATAGATAAGAGCACTGGCTGCTCTTAAAGAGGACCCGGGTTCAGTTGTTAGCACTCACATGGTGGCTAACAGTCTATAACTCCAGGTCCAGAGGATCCATCACCCTCTTCTGACCTCTATGGGCATTGCACGACATGAGTATACTTACATACACTCAGGCAATATACTCATACACATAAAAATTTTAATTTAATTTTAAAAAGAGAATTGTATGAAGCTGGGCATGGTGACACTTAATCCCAGCACTTGGGAGGCAGAAGTAGGTGGATCTCTGTGAGATCAAGGCCAGCCTGGTCTACATAGTGAGTCCCCAGTTCCAGAAGAGACCCTGTCTCAAAAAAAAGTATGTCATGATCCACATTACAAAGCAGTGGATAGTTCATCAATGAGAGAAGACATTTTTAAACAGTACATAGAAAAAAAATAGCCAAGAATTTAGACTAAGAAAAAGAAAAAGAACTTGAAAGGCAAGCCTTCGAGAATGGGAAAGAGAGGTTCAAAAAGCTCATTCTGAACAAACGAAAGAAATAGATCGTGAAAGAGAGCAACATAAACGAGAAGAAGCTATCCAGAATTTTAAGGCTCTTCTGTCTGACATGGTATGGCCTTCAGATGTGTGTGGTCTGATACTAGCAGGACCCTCCGAAAAGATCACCGCTGGGAATCTGGGTCCTTATTGGAGAGAAAGAGAAGAGAAAGAGAAGAGAAGAGAAAGAGAAGCTTTTCAATGAACACATTGAAGCACTCACCAAAAAGAAAAGGGAGCATTTTAGGCAACTTCTGGATGAAACTTCTACGATCACCTTAACATCTACACGGAAAGAAGTAAAAAAATAATTAGGGAAGACCCCCGGTGCATTAAGTTCTCCTCCAGTGACAAGAAAAAACAAAGAGAGTTTGAAGAGTACATCAGAGACAAATAATATCACCACCAAAGCAGACTTTAGGATGCTTTTGAGAGACCAAATTTATAACGTATAGATCCAAAAAGCTAATCCAAGAATCCGATCAACACCTGAAAGATGTAGAAAAAATTTTGCAGGATGACAAACGGAATCTAGTACTAGACTGTGTGCCAGAGGAGCGGTGAAAACTGATTGTGGCATATGTTGATGACCTGGATTGCTGGGGTCCACCCCCACCCCCCACAGCATCAGAGCCCACTAGACAATTGACAAAATAATTCTAAATAGTCTTCCATGGGGTAGCACTTAATTCAAAATGCTTGCATGAGCCAATTTTCAGGTTTTTACATATATGTGCATTAGTCAACCTGTTGCAAAACCATCTGACGAACAGGAGGAGAAGCATTTGTGAACAGTCTGAACAGAACACTTTGAAAATATTTATGCTTTTCTTTGTGTGGCCTGATTGACATACATACTCAAATATAAGCTGTCTCTAGTAAATTTAAAATCTTGAAGCTAAAAGTCATCCTTTTATGAGGTGTGGAAGCCAGTGACTTGGTGATGTTATTACTAGCAGTGTTATACATGCAAGACAGGAGCATTTGTGGTTTGAATTTGCAAGATGCACATACCACAGACTCCCAAGAAAACTGAAGTTGGGATTTGTTTTGATCTTGTTTTTCAAGTGGGTAAAAGAGGAAACACGGAATTGAATTCTTCTAGAGACTAAGGATGTTATAATGAACATACTTATACCTTTGTCGCTAAAGAACAGTTTAGTTGCATTTGTTCACTTATGTGCTTTGATTATCTCCTGAGTTTTAGGCCAAGTCTTGTTGTTTAGCCCAAGAGAAGATTTATTTAGTATCTCTTCTCAGGTATGGAACCACACTTATAACTCACGTGTTGGCCAGAGTAGAACTGCTGGTTAAACATACTTTATTCTCCATTGAATGATCTTTATCATTATTCTGGATTAGACAACAAAATTGCCTTTCTGGGTATTCCCCGTAAACTCTATTCCTGTTTGAATGTTGAACTTTTGTTTCTAAAGTTTAATTTTAAGATGTTTGAATGTTCAGTTTGTATATTTGAGCTACAATAAACCAACTCTTTTTGTCAAAAGAGAACAGAAGGTACTGTGTTATCTGCATGCCTTATAC